TTTTTTTTTTTTTTTTTTTTTTTTTTTTTTTGTACTGGGGATTGAACTTGGGTCCTTATGCTTGCAAGGCAGGTGGTAGAACCACTGAGCTAAATCCCTATCACATTAATATATATATATTTAAAAAAAGCATAAATGTTATTTGAAATGCATGTTCCTAGTGATAAAAATCTTAAAAGTCTATGTATCCTGTAGAATTGCCTCCTAATATTTTAATGTTTTAAAATATACTACCTACACATCTCTCTTTCTTACATTTGTACTTGCCTTGGAAATTTCATGTCTGTACAAATCTTATAACTATTCTTTAATAAATAGAAAAATGCTTATGAAATTTAGACAAATATATTTCCACTCACTGTAACCTGCTAAGAGTCTTAGTTTAACTTTTTACACAGACCTTTATGTATAGAGCCAAGTCTGTTATTGTACAATAATGCATCACTGCCCTCTGATGGTACCCACTAATATATCAATTCAGCAAAGAAAACTTTCATTATATTGTAAAATAAAATACATTTATTTTATAAGGTATAAAAATAGACAGTACATTAGGAAAATTCAATATTTGCTTACAAATATTCATTACTCAGTAAGTTATAAAATTTTAGTGCTCCTTAAGATAATTTCGCCCTTCAATGAATTTTCAAGTTTTTTCCCTGATGATTAGTTTAAAGGCACTAAATCTTTAAGTGTAGGCCAAAGTCTTCATACATAGTGAATAACCAAACACAAGGCTATGTAGCACAACTATAAATGCTAAGATAGTTCAGGGTTTGGTTTTAGTTTTTTTTGTTTTTTGTTTTTTGATACCAGGGATCGAACTTGGGTCCTTGTGCTTGCGAGGCAGGTGGCGTAGCTAAGATAGTTTAAAGGAGGGAAACATAATTGCAATCTTAGTATTAGAGATGTATGCAGGGTCTTTAAATGTCATCTATGTATGCTGTTTAGGGCCATATTTTAACTATGAAAAAACGGCAAATTACTTCCTGCAGAAAAGTAAGTGCAGAAACATAAGAATTTAATGAATGATCTGGCCATTTTCTAAGTCTGAAAATCAATTTTCCCCCCAATATGTTCAATATAAATTTAGCACTGCAACTAAGGGCACTAATATCACAAAAGTTGATTCTGTAAGGAGTAGAAGTTAAATGGAGAAAGTCTATCTGACTGCAGATGCTGGACAGTTACTGGCAGTCGGCTCTTCTGTTCGTGCTTTACGAAACTGTCCATCTAAGTCCACCTGCTGAAGGAGGCCCAGGTGTGGCAATTTGTTTTTCTGTCCCCCCACTTTTCTTCCACAGATCAAACATCTAAAATTCCCTGAGATGCAGCCTCCTTCTGTCCTTTGCTCTTTTCTCTTTGGGCCTGGGGGGCCTGAGGCGCAGACTCCATGGGGCACTGGAAGTGCCTCCCCATGCCAGCTGACCACTGTGTAGTCTGTGCGGGTTGTTTCTGTTCTGTAATTCTTTTTTGGTACTGGAGATCGAACTTGGGTCCTTGTGCTTGCAAGGCACGCAGCCGAACCACTGAGCTAAATCCCCACCCTGTTTTTGTTTTAATATTTAGATCTTCGGTGTATTTTTATTTTAGCTTAGTACACAGTGAGAGATATGGGTCTAGATTCAATTTTCTGCACATGTGTAACCAGTTTCTCAGCACCATTTATTACAGGCTATTTATCTTCTAACATATATTTTTGAACCCTTTCTCAAAATTCAGATGGCTGCATATGCTAGGAGTTGTTTCTGCTGAGTGTGCTTTGGGTAATGTCTGTTTTTTGGTGCCAATATCATGCTATTTTTGTCATGGTGGCTTTATAATATAACCTGAAGTCCAGGACTGTGATGCTCCTGCTTTGCGCTTGTCACCCAGGTTTGCTGTTCTATTCTGGGTTTCTTCTGATTCTGTGCGAAGTTTTGGACTGTTTTCTCCAGTCCTGCGAGGAATACTGTTGGTATTTTGATTGGGATTGCATTAATTCCATATATGAGTTTAGGTAATATGGCTATTTTGACAATATTGGTTTAGCCAATCCAGGAACAGGGGGTGTCTTTCCATTTTCTGATGTCTTTGTCCTCTTCAATCTGTTTTTATTTTCTTTTGAGAATATAGTAGTTTTTCTTTTTAAATACAGTTCTTTCACTTCCTTTGCTAGGTTAATTCCTAAGTATTTAATTTTTCTTGAAGCTATTTTTGTGTTTGTTTTTTGGTACTGGGCATCAAACTCAGCCCTTGCAGTTATGAGGCAGGTGGTGGAGCCACTGAACTAAATCCCTGGCTCATTTTATTTATTTCTATTTTTTTTGGCCCTGGGGATCAAACTTGGGTCCTTGTACTTGTGAGGCAGGCAGTGGAACCACTGAGCCAAATCCCCTGCCCGAAGCTATTGTTAATGGTATCGTTTTCCTAATTTCTTTCTCACTGGACATTACACCTTCCCTTTCAATTTCATTAAAAACTTTGAGAGCATTGGCAGTGTATCCTTTAAATTCTTGTAGAATTCAGTGGTGAGTCCATC